TTGTTCCAGTCACTTTTTGAGCCGGTCTTGACGCTATGCTCCGAATTTTCTCTTGTAACTTGTCAAAGATTGCACATTTAGAAGATGTTGTGATGTTGCAAGATGGTTGGCACGTTGCAAGATGCTTGGCACGTTGCAAGATGCTTGAAACGTTTCACAACATTGTCGACGAATGACCGTGTGATTATTTTTGGGGTGGGGGGAAGGTTGGGGGGAAGGAGGGTGGGGAGGACGGGGTGGGAAACTTTTGTCCGACACAGTATAGGCACATGCAGCTTGTGACACGCTCTGGATGCTCTGCTCTGAACTTTTTCCAGTCACTTTTTGAGCCGGTCTTGGCGCTATGCTCCAAATTTTCACCTGTAACTCGTTAAAGATGGCACATTTAGAAGATGTTGTGAGGTTGCAAGATAGTTGGCACGTTGCAAGATGCTTGGCACGCTGCAAGATGCTTGAAACGCTTCACAGCATTGTCGACGAATGACCGTGTGATTATTTTTGGGGTGGGGGGGTGGGGGGGGGGGTGGGGGGGAAGGTGGGGTGGGGGAGGGGGTGGGAAACTCTTGTCCGACACAGTCACATGCAGGTCCAGTCACTTTTTGAGCCGGTCTTGACGCTATGCTCCGAATTTTCTCTTGTAACTTGTCACAGATGGTGCATTTAGAAGATGTTGTGACGTTGCAAGATAGTTGGCACGTTGCAAGATGCTTGGCACGTTGCAAGATGATTGAAACGTTTCACAACATTGTCGACGAATGACCGTGTGATTATTTTTGGGATGGGGGGGAAGGTGGGGGGGAAGGAGGGTGGGTGGGAAACTTTTGCCCGACACAGGCACATGCAGCTTGTGACACGCTCTTGATGCTCTGCTCTGAGCTTTTGCCAGTCACTTTTTGAGCCGGTCTTGACGCTATGCTCCGAATTTTCTCGTGTAACTTGTCAAAGATGGCACATTTACAAGATGTTGTGAGGTTGCAAGAAAGTTGGCACGTTGCAAGATGCTTGAAACGTTTCACAACATTGTCGACGAATGACCGTGTGATTATTTTTTTGGGGGGGAGGGGGTGGGAAACTTTTGCCCGACACAGGCACAGGCACATGCAGGTCCAGTCACTTTTTGAGCCGGTCTTTACGCTTGCTCCGAATTTTCTCTTGTAACTTGTCAAAGATGGCACATTTAGAAGATGTTGTGAGGTTGCAAGGAAGTTGGCGCGTTGCAAGATGCTTGGCACGTTGCAAGATGCTTGAAACGTTTCACAACATTGTCGACGATTGACCGTGTGATTATTTTTGGGGAGGGGGGGTGGGGGGGAGGCGGGGGAGGGGGGTGGGAAACTCTTGTCCGACACAGGCACATGCAGGTCCAGACACTTTTTGAGCCGGTCTTGACGCTATGCTCCGAATTTTCTCTTGTAACTTGTCACAGATGGCGCATTTAGAAGATGTTGTGACGTTGCAAGATAGTTGGCACGTTGCAAGATGCTTGGCACGTTGCAAGATGATTGAAACGTTTCACAACATTGTCGACGACTGACCGTGTGATTATTTTTGGGGAGGGGGGGTGGGGGGGGAAGGTGGGGGGGAAGGAGGGTGGGGGGTGGGTGGGAAACTCTTGTCCGACACAGGCACATGCAGCTTGTGACACGCTCTTGATGCTCTGCTCTGAACTTTTTCCACTCACTTTTTGAGCCGGTCTTGACGCTATGCTCCGAATTTTCTCTTGTAACTCGTCAAAGATGGCACATTTAGAAGATGTTGTGACGTTGCAAGATAGTTGGGACTCAGGCGCCGCCGTCCGACACAGCCCCTTGGCGGCCGACACAGAAGCCCCGCGGCCGACACAGACATGCCAGTTTCGACACACAGACCTTAGTTTGCTAAGTTAGTGGGATCTTTTTTTCCTTTCTTTGTGGAAGCCCTGCACGCGCCGCCCCGCCGTCCGACACAGAAGCCCCGCGGCCGACTCAGGCGCCGCCGTCCGACACAGCCCCTCCGCGGCCGACACAGAAGCCCTGCGGCCGACACAGACATGCCAGTTTCGACACACAGACCTTAGTTTGCTAAGTTAGCGCTGGGGCCTTTTTTCCTATACCCTGCGGAAGCCCTGCAGCCCGCCGTCCGACACAGGAGCCCCGCGGCCCACTCAAGCGCCGCCGTCCGACACAGGAGCCCGGCGGCCGACTCAGGCGTCGACACAGCCCCTCCGCGGCCGACACAGAAGCCCTGCGGCCGACACAGACATGCCAGTTTCGACACACAGACCTTACTTTGCTAAGTCAGCGCTGGGATCTTTTTCCATCTTTAAGTGGCAGCCCTGCGCGAGCCGCCCCGCGGTCCGACACAGAAGCCCCGCGGCCGACTCAAGTGCCGCCGTCCGACACAGCCCCTCCGCGGCCGACGACCGCCACGGCACTTGGCGCCGGCCGACACGGCACTTGGCGCGACACGGCACTTGGCGCCGGCCGACTCGCACACCCAGCCGCGGCCGACACGCCCACCCCGCCGGCCGACTCACCGCGGCCGACACAGACCTTGTCCCTAATGCCAGCTTTCAATCTAGGTTCAAAATGACCTGCTCAGGATCCTTACAATCTGCTTAACTTCCTACTTGATCCACTCCACAGCCATTCTTCTTCCTTCATTTGAGCCATGTCAGAGCCTCACTTGGACGAAGACTTAGCCTGGGCCCTTGGCCGTGCCCCGCCTGCACCTTGCTGAACGGAAGCCGTGAAATGCACAGCCTGCGACGTGAAACTAAGACCCTTGTTGAGATGAACATCCATGCAGTAGGGATGAATGTGACCAGTGGTGAGAGTGACCAAAGTGGTACGGGCCTTAGCATCTTCTTGTTGAAGCCAATCTCTGTGCACATTCTCAGTGGTGTGCGAGCAACAAAAATCGATGCGCAGTTTTGTTTATATAATCGCAAGTAAAAGCCACCTTGAGATTGAGATGGACACGTTTGCACATCCCAGCGATGAAACAGAAAGCTGTTGCGGTTCGTGGCTCCATCTTAGGTCTGGCTGATGCAAGGCGCCCGGACACGAGGACTTCCGGTCACCTTTGGAACCTGAATGGACGGGTAGTGTATACAGGCTCCCAAACCATCCAGGCCATTGCCAGGGTCATCGAATGTTACGGCTGGGAAAATCGGCGAAACCAGGAACTCACGAAACCAGCCCCAGGACCTGCTGCTGAGTCCGGTCCCTCTGCCGGAGCCGCCGCCTCCACGGTTGAGGAAACGGGTGTGGTGATCTGACGCTTCATCCTGGTTTATGTAGAGGGGGTCAGCAACCAAGAAAATCTCAGGATTGTCCTGCAAAACATGGGGAGCC